TGATGGATTGAAGAAACCATCTGTGTGGCGTCCATGGCATTGCCTGTGTCTGATTAATTGAAAATAGTTGACGAAATCCACATGGTTAAATAAATCAGGAGAATGGCAACCAAGGCACAGATGTTTACAATCTTCCTGCACAGTCATATGAACATAATCTGCCAGGAAAACAAAGCCTGCTGGACTGTTTCTCACATTCGCACACTCAACTTTTTTCAACTATTTATTGAGCATTTACTACGCCCCCAGTCCTATGCTTAACGTTTATGTTCATTTTCTCATTTAATCCTCACAGGAACTCTGTGAACAGAATACTATTATTTTCACTTTACAGATTTTTTTAAAGATTTTATTTATTTGAGAGAGAGAGAATGAGAGAGAGAGAGAGAGAGCATGAGAGGGGGGAGGGTCAGAGGGAGAAGCAGACTCCCCGCCGAGCAGGGAGCCCGATGCGGGACTCGATCCCGGAACTCCGGGATCATGACCTGAGCCGAAGGCAGTCGCTTAACCAACTGAGCCACCCAGGTGTCCTCACTTTACAGATTTTATAGGAAATTACAGCTCGGAATGTTGGGTAACCCATCCAGGGTCAGACACCAAACATGTAATAATAACCACGAACTCTAAGAATACAGGGTTTTACTTCAGGCTCTTATCTATTTATTAAGAACTATATTTGTTTTGTTTTGTTTTTTTAAACCTTTCATCTGCAAACAACCAACAAAACATGACATGAAACTAGTTGTAAAACAAACAAGCGACTATGTGTAAAAATGTATTCTAGAAAACCTCCCATACGTATAAGCATTTCGTTAACTTATATAATTGCCAATCGCTCATAAGAAGGAAACAGATTTTATTTAAAGCATAAAAATTATAGCACTGTTTTTAAAAGTGGCTTTGGATAAAATTTAACAAAAACATAATGAAAAACACTAAGGGGAAATTAAAATAACTTTTTAGTATTACTAAATAAGGAAAATTGTTTTGATGAGCCAAAAGTACTATTTTAATTAGAAATCCTATGACAACAACAAAATTAACAAAAATGTTCCTTTTAGACACTTCAGTGTATCTCCCACCTCCTCAGACAAAATTCTATCCTGTTGATGATTCTCACAGAAGACATTGCTCCTACATTTCCGTAACTGCCATTCTTGCTCCAGTTGGTGGTTCTCACTGCAGAAGCTCAAAGCCCTTTTTACTCCACCTTGGCCTTCCATTTCTGACCTTTCAAGTCTTCCTGAAATCAAATTGCCAAATCCTGTTTTCTCCTGGCAGAGCATCTCCTAATCCTCCTAATGTAATTTAGACTGACAGGACTGAGCTACAATGTTCAATAATATATCTGCAGATGAAAAGAAGGGTGGCCTGAGGGCTACTCCAAGCAAGCTTCCGATTGGACAAACCAGACTAGAGAAGGCCTGTGCCTGTGCCCATCCCTGGGTGTGGGGGCCACATTTGCTACCCATTTGTAACTATGACTTGTTCCTGGCCTCCAGGGCTGGGAGCTCAGGCTTCTGACTATATGGAGACAGATTATTTTTATTAATAATAATATCCTGATTTATAGAGTGCTTATTATGTGCCAGCCTGATTATAGAGTGCTTATTATTACCTTGCCAAGTGATGTTATATGTCTTTATAGGACTTATCTAATTAAATTATATATCTTTCTGCTTTCTGCATTCAGGGAGATTAGCAGGGTTATTCAGTGGCCAAAATAGTGAGTAAGACCAAAAACAGTACTTTGTTTTCATCTCTCCCTCATTCTTTTACTGGTAAACTTTTATTGAACACCTAATATGTGTTTGGAATTGCATTGAGTGTAGGTCTCACCTTTATGGAATAAAAATTTCTTGGGAGCAGAAACATACAAATAAATACTACAATGTAAATATGTTAAAAAATATATATAGTTCAAATTCTACTAAACTCACCTTTTAAAAATGTACAACTCCGTGATTTTTAAGTTTATTTACAATGTGTAACCATCTAATTCTAGAACATTTACATCATCCCCCAAAAGAAACCCTTTACCTATTAGCAGTCACTCTCCATCCCCCTGCCCTTGGAAGCCACTAACCTACTTTCTGTCTCTATGGATTTGCCTATTATGGACATTTCAAATAAATGGAATTATATCAAAAGAGAGAGAGAGAGAGAGAGAAAGAAATGCATAGAAAGCAATCATATTTAAGAAATGGAGGTTGCCTAAGTAAATTAGTTAAAAGGGTCTTCTACCTTCTCTAGACGGCTTCATTAGCAGAGTTCTGTTAAGGCGGTGGCTTACAAAAGAATTTTTATCACCTTGAATCAGTCTCCTTGCTACAGAGCCATCTAGAAAGATCTGAATCACAAATAGGTGCTAATGACTCTCACATTCAGAACAGTATTTAACACCCTGCTCCTAGACTCTTTTTTTGTCCAAGGTTAGCTGCTACTCACACAAAAACATAAATTATGTTTTTGAAGAGTATTTATGAAGATGCATAAATGATCACATACATAGGAAACAACAAGGAGAAAATTGTATATGAGTTATGATCCCACATTGAAACGAACAAGAAAACTCATTAGATAAACACATATGCAAAGAAATATGAGAAAATGTGATACAGTATTAGAATAATTGGAAATTTTGTTTTTCTCCATATATCATTCCATATTGTGCACATCTATAAATATAACCACTCAGGAGTTTTATAATCAGAAAAAGTAAATATTTTATACAAATTAAAATCAAAAGAAGAATGAGTAAAAGTATACTTCGTATACTATATCTGTAATTATTGTTTTACTGAGTTTACCAATGACCCGTTTATGACTCTAAGTAGCATGTTATATTATTTTCAAATATTTTTTTTAATCCAAAAGAAAACAAACAAACAGGTTTTCTTTAGGTAGAAGTTCCTAATTCTAAACAGATCCTATTCACTATCTCATCACCAGACTTGAGTTCACACAAAATGGCCTCTCACTAACTACCTATTAGAGAGAAAAAGAGAAGAAAAGTGACTGGCTGATCAAATTAATAGTTTCACACACTGCTTTTTTGGAGACGATCATTTCCTTCAAGATTCTTCTTCAACTTCCTTGAAGGAGAAATTTGGCATCCAGACACATGCGTGCACAAGCGCACACACACACACACACACACACACACAGCCCCCCTAAGAATTTATATTTTTTTAAAAATTCCTTGAAAATATAAAAAGTGCAGAGATGGTGATGAAAACAGGAGGTAACTAGAAATGGGCACATGGAATCTGTTCGGAGTGCTGAAAATGTTTTGGAACTTGATTGTTGTGATGGTTGCTGGCATAACTGTAAATGAGTAATAATTGTACTGTACACTTAAAATAAGTGAATTTTATACCTCCATGAAGCTTACAAAATAAAAAATATAATTGCAATGGATACAGGAAAAAATTACTATAGCAGAAGAAAATCTTTGAGGAATCCTAAAAGCAATTAAGAAATCAAGGTTGCAGTGAAAGCCGTATTAGACAGGCCCAGCTACATGTTTGGGGAGTCCCAGTGCAAAATGAAAATCCAGCACTATTGTTTAAAAATCATTAAGAATTTCAAGATGGTAACATTAAACCAAGCGCAGGGCCCTTCTGAGTGCCAGGCCCTGTGGGACTGCACAGGTAACATGCCCTGAGACCAGCCATGAAGATTGGAAAAAGCATAGGCTGAAACACGGAAAGGAGAAGAATTCTATGAAATTTCAAGGGTGCTCCAAATGAAGAATAAGTGGATCCAAAGAATCGATAGGGCTCGGTGGTGATCACGAGGAGAACTGGGGAAGACAAATGTAGCAACATGGTAGGTCAGCACCTTCTTCCATTTTGGCTTATGCTGAATAATAGTTGAGAAGTAAGAGTAACATACACTTCTGGACTAAAGCATTGAATGCAGGAAATGGGGTTGCAGAGGTATTTACCAAGAGCAGAATGAACTCACAAACTGAAAAGACACAAGGCCTTCACTTCCCACCCCAGGGGCACAAACTAACCCTCTTTCACAATAACGGGAGGGAAGTTCCTCTAATGAGAAACTTCATTCACAAATGGGAAATCAGGAAGTTTAAATGCCAGTGTGAAATGAACAAGCAATAATCATAACATTTGCAAAACCCAAACACAGTGAAAGGAAGAAACTCTGCAAACAGAAAAATGAAAATCCATGAAAAAATAGAAACCATTTAAAAATTAACATAATTAACATTTGCAAATAAATGTAAGGGATGATCCTATCTAGAAATATAAACAGAAGAGGTGTTTATGGAAAAAAAACATTCGCAGATCTTGATTTTTTAAAACCTAGACAATGGCCTACCCGTTCAGTCTATTAAAAGGATGTTTTGATAGATGATTCTAGTTTCAATATATTTTAATTTATCAATCTTACCCTTTATGGGTAGTGATTTTTGCAACTGTGTTTAAGAAATCTTTCATCATCCTAAGGTCAAAAAGATACTCCTATATGTTATCCAGCAAATGCCGTCTTTCTTAGCCTTCTACATGTATAATTACAATTCACCTGGAATTGCTTTGTGTGCTGTGTAGGCTGAGAGGAGGCGAGCTTGTCAAGTTCCTGCCCCCACCCCACTGTGACAGATATTGAATATACCCAGCACCATTCCTTGAAAGAACTGTTCTTTCCCCACTGCTTTGCCGTGCTGGCTCTGTCACATACCATCCATATGTGAGTCTTTGTCTGTCTGGGTTTTCAACTTATTTAAATTGAGTTTTCATTTATACGTTGTACAATGTCAATGTTTTAATTGTCCTCACTTCATATTAAGCCTTGATTTTCAGTAGTTTGTATCTCTCAACTTAAGATCAACGGGTGATCTTAACTGGGGACGTGGTTCGGAGGGACGCCCGCTTCTGGTCGCTGGATTGAGAAAAGAGTCTTTGGCTGGCCCAGAGCAAGGAGAGCTGACTTGAGGCCCAGCTCTTTGGATCCCCATGGATACGCTGCCTGCTCATCTCTCTCATGGCCCTCCACCCCCGCAGAGTTCGGCTGAAGACCTGGCTGGTGGCCCAGGTGGATAGTGGCCTGTACCCCGGGCTCATCTGGATACACAGGGACTCCAAACGCTTTCAGATTCCCTGGAAACATGCTACCTGGCATAGCCCCCAACAAGAGGAGGAAAATACCATTTTCAAGGTCTGGGCTGTGGAGACAGGGAAGTACCAGGAAGGGGTAGATGACCCTGACCCAGCTAAATGGAAGGCCCAGCTCTGCGGTGCTCTCAACAAGAGCAGGAAATTCAACCTGATGTACGATGGCACCAAGGAAGTACCCATGAACCCAGTGAAGATATATCAAGTGTGTGACATCCCGCAGCCTCAGGGATCAATCATTAACCCAGGATCTACTGGATCTGCTCCTTGGGATGAGAAGGATAATGATGTAGATGAAGAAGATGAGGAAGATGAGCTTGATCAGTCACAGCACCATGTTCCCATCCAGGACACCTTCCCCTTCCTGAACATCAATGGTGAGTGAGGGTGGTAGGGGATACAGAAGAATGAAGAGGATGGAACGGGCTTTGATTAACAGCTACTGGCCCCCCTCAGCCCCCGCTGCACTGGGAGCAGTGACAAGGCCCTGTGGCCAAGCTGCTGGTCTATTAGCAAGTAGGGGTCACAGACAGGGGAACTCTGCTGGCCCAGTTATCCCAGTGGGCGGCTTCCAGGCATAGAGAACATCTTCTGAATCTTACAGATAATTCTGAGAAATTAAACAAATTCATTCTCAATCCCACATACAAAGCATCATTGTTACAAATTTCACTGATTTCCTTGAGGCCAAGTGTAGATATCATTTTGACGAATTATAGGCAAACTCTTCCACTATTTCCCTTGGTATAAATTTTGTGTCACTTTCTTAGCAGGATCTACTCTGCTAAGGCTAGGTCATGGGAAACTGGTGGTTTCTACAGCTCTTAATACTAGGCTTTGATAGAAGTTATCTGCAAGAGACTTTTTGCTTCTTTTATGGACTTTTTGAATTCAGCTTCCTAGGAAAAATGAGTTGAGAGGTTGGAAGATCACTGTGACAGAGCAGGTACTGACTCTTCCAGCGCACATTTGGAGGATGCTCAAACACAAGGTGAAGTGCTCTTCGGCATCTTCACTTGAACTGTCCACTGAAATGCTCCTAGTCTAATGCCATGCATTTAGTTGAGAAGCTCCTCACTGTGTTTTCTAGTTCCATCACACTGCTATGGGTCAAATGAGGTCCTCGTGCCACTTAGAAAATTTATCAAGATGATTCCTTTGGGATTTTGGAGTCCCCTACTTTAGGTGATTCCCTTACCTTTGAGAATCAGGAACGACTCTTATTATCTGTCCACTTCCCTCCTTCACTTAACCTACCATTTATATCTTTACAACCAAGTGATGAGTAAAGAAAAATAACATTGAGCTCTTTCAGGTCAATATTGCCACATGTTACATTCCCACTTAGTGATTTGAGTTGGATATCTGGAAATATGAGATCCTTTCCCAAATCCTTGGCTGGCTCATTCTGTTGTTTTCACCCCTTAAAAGGATGCAACCTATTTCCAGGATCCTGATTTCCTATTTCTGTTCATATTTTACCAAAGCAAATATTGTGTGGCCTTATGTTAGGGGTTGCTTTGGATTCTTTTGGGGAAGATGTGGGACATCTATTTAAAAAGTAGGGGCACCTGGGTGGCTTAGTTGGTTGGATGTCTGACTGTTGATTTCCACTCAGGTCATGATCTCAGGGTCCTGGGATTGAGCCCCAAGTTGGGCTCTCTGCTCAGTGGGGAGTCTATTTGAGGATCCACTCTCTCTCTCTCCCTTTGCCCTTCCCCCATTTGTGCACTTGCTCTTTCTCAAATAAATAAATCTTTAAAAATAAAAAAAAAAAAGTAAAATGGGTACATAGGTTTAACCAGACTTTTGCACGAAGGGTCAAAGAAACATTAACTTCTATGATTTCAGAGCTGTTGGGGCAGAGTAAGAAGAATTGTTGAAGAATAGATGCCTAAGAGGTGAGGCTAGGAGGAGAAATCTGTAGACTTTGGAGTGAACCAACTTTGAGAATAGCAAGAAAATAGGATGGGTATTTCATTTTCTTTCTTAAAAGCTTTAATTGTATTCTTTTGAATAAATACTGGTCTTCCATGGTTTAAAATTCATAATGGTACAAAAAGATAATCAATTGAAAGTTTTTCCTTCCTTCCTGTCTCTGAGCCCCCTGTTCAGTTTCCCTGGAAGAAACTGATCCTTTCAGATTTTTGGGTATCCTTCCAGATGTTTCCTGCATGTGAAAGTATGTTTTTAATGGAATTTGTAAACACTCAAAGCTAATCAGCTAACTCAATTGAGTTCATTTTATAGAAGACAATCAACTCCTATGTAATTGCTGGGGTGAAAATCTGCAACAGGGAACCTTTCATCCATGCTCATTCTAATTTAACCCCAGAGAAAACTCACATGTCTGGTAATCTTCAGCAAACGCACGTCTTCAGAACTATGAGTTTATGGGAGAACTAATATGATTAGGAAGTAGAAGTAGGGGAACTGTGTTTCTTATTGTGTTAATTGTGGAAATCATTGAAGGGCTGCCGCACTGAGTCATAGTCCAGTGTTTGACTCTTGTCTGTTGACCTTGTTAGGTTTTAGAGCCCCAAGCCAGGTGATGTACATATGTGGTGCCCCCATGCCTGCTCACCCACATCTTTCTGTTCTAGGTTCTCCCATGGCACCAGCCAGTGTGGGCAACTGCAGCCCCGAAGCAGTGTGGCCCAAAACTGAACCTCTGGAAATAGATGTACCCCAGGCACCTATACAGCCCTTCTATAGCTCTCCAGAGCTGTGGATCAGCTCTCTCCCAAGTAAGTGAGACTTGATCTTTCTAGCTGGGTCTTCAGCTCCTATTATAGTCCCTTCCCCGCCCTACCTTCTGCCTCCATTTCTTTGCCATGTAGGCAGCCTCTATGTCTGGTTCCTGGCTGGCTAATGAGTCATCAGGGAAGAAGTAAAGAAACATTAGTTCATATTTATCTGCCCATGGGGATGCTCTGATCGGTTGCAGCTCGAGGTTACACACCTCTTAGGTGGGTGGAAAGCCTGGGTTAATCAGTTTGGCTAGGGGATCTGGGCATAAGGCCAGTTGAGGGATAGGAAGATTAATGGCCATGGATTTGATCAAGAAGGTTCTTGGGGGG